ATCCATTCATTAAGGAGATGATTCAACTTTTTAAAGTTGAACATTTCCGTGGGAAGGTGAAGTGCAAGCAATCTTCTTAAATCAAGGATATCTCCTGGCGAAATGATGCGATTGGGATAAGTCAAGTCTCATTTTAAAGCTTGAAAAAATACCTTGAAAATAAAATAAAAATTGTTTAACTTCTCTCTGCCGATCTTGAGTTATTAATGATTGAACATCGTTCGTTTTATCCTGACCTATTCTCATTAACTTCTCATTTACCTCGTTAAAGAGTACTTTTACGAAAAAAAGCCACAGGACAGTTTTTGTAGAGAATTAAATTTACAACAAAATTGTCCTTTGACATTTTCCCCTAAACCCAGTAGCTTCCGAGATTATCGCGATGGAGTGCATTAAAAAGTCCTTCAAAATTTTTAATGATCCGTTTTTTCAATAAATTTCTAAATAATTGAAAATATTTTTCAAAAATTTGGATAATGTTCACAAAAATCTGCCGAGATAGTCATTCACAACATCATCGCCTCGACAAATAAAATACCACTCTTGAATAATCAAAATCGTAGAAGGCGGGAAATGACAAGTGGGTTTCTAAAAGTGGGCGTACGAACAATCACACCGGAAATCGTTTAATTATCCACGCAAACGTATCGAGAACGTCAAAAAAAAATTAGTGTCTCATCACTTCCCGCGATTTCCTCCACTAAAAAAAATCAAATCGAGGGGAATAGAAAGCGAAAAAATGCCTCAACTGCACGAAACGAATTATCCCCTTCGAAAATAGATTTTTTAGTGTAGGTCGCGTGTGACACGTGAATAAAAAAACACCAGAAAATTCTCTGGACGTATCAAGCCCAATGCAACTCGTGGGAATGACGAAGAATTTTTTTTGTAAATTTCTCGAGTCAAATTGAATTAATCAATCAAGTTTTTTCATCCACTCGCAATTTTACTTACTATTCTCAATGCTAATGAAGAGTTCGTACAAATCTTCACCGGATTGCCGTGAAAAACAGTTGTGCACTCGGATGTTGTGACTTTGCAAAAGTCGCAAGAAATGGAAAGTGAATCGTTTTCTCGGAAGAAAACCGTGATTTTTCTCTGTTTCATCGACTGACTGATGGAATAATCGAGAAATTCGTGTCATTAGTGAGGGAATAACGCCTTGAATTTCCAAAATGGCGATTGAAACGATCATTTGAAACCCTGAGGGGTCACGGAACCCATCAATTTCCAATTACGCTCATTATCAGAAACACAACTTATCGATAAATTGATTCTCTATGTTTATTTTATTCTGAGAGAGAATTTATTTGGAGTGCATGGGAAAATTTTGAATGAAGAGTTTCATTTGATTTAGATGCGTCGCGAAATATTTTTTGGTTTTTGTTTTGTCCAGGTTCTTCTGAATTCCCAAAATGATTATTGATAACATCGTTTACTCATTTTTGTGGGTCTCAGAAGTATTTACATAAACATAAACAGTCAATTGACTGATAAAATGACTCATTTCACTTCTACAACCGAGTTGTCTCAAAAAATTGCCCCTCAACCGAGATAATTTCCCCTAGATCCATGAAACAATAATGAAAACAATCATTTGCTCATTTTTGCGAATGTAAGAAACAATCCCAGGCATAAGCCCGATTGTCTCACTTCAAATCTCCAAATGTTTGTTTTCGATTTTAAATTGTGAGCATCTTGACTCCAAAATTTCCCACTCAGTAACTAAATAATCCCATTTCAATAAAATACTGAATATTTCATTGATAGATTCAGTCGAATTATTTTCATTGTCGTTTCATTCAAGGAATGCCTCCTATACAAAATTAAATGTCCAACAGATTTAATTGTCATCATGAGACATTTACGTCTAAATCCAATGGAAGGATAATCAAAATAATTAGTTGCACACAATTTAAAATGACTCATTTCACCTCTAAAATCGCGTCCTCTTACTTTTATTCCCCCAAACATTTGTTTTTTTTTTCGAGATACTTGACATCTTGGCACCAAAAATTCCCCCCAAACCCACTCAGTACCGAATAAAAATAAATAAAATAAAAAAATAAAAATAAATAAAATGAAACCCACTCGGTGCCGAAAAAAAAAAATGTTGAACACTTGGTGACATTTTATTTTATTGTAAAATAGTGTAAAATAAAATGTTCAACAAGTGTTCAACATTTACAAAAAATTTATTTAAAAAATTAAAATAGAATTTTACACTATTTTACAATAAAATAAAATGTTGAACAAAATTTTCAACATTTCACTAATTGATTAAGTTGAATAATTTACATTCTCGTTTCACTCAAGCGAAATACCCGATACCTAAATCCCTAAAACAATAACAAAAATAATCGCGTTCTACATCGAGAAATAAATCCCCCAATTGATGTAGAAAACGCCTCAGTTCACCTTTAAAATCGCCCCGTCTTGCTTCAATACCCCACACGTTTGTTTTCGATTCCAACCCTCGCCATCTTGTTCCCCGAAACGCTGGGAGTGGGGATGGATCAAGGAGCAACAAGTCCTGGCCTGTGAATCCAAACAAACCCCTCGCAAATTCCCCTCAAAACCCTTGAAGCCCATCTCTCTCTTTTGTTTGATTTCACCGTCGCCCGAGTGAAACCGAGTGAAGAAAGGCGAGTGTTGAGTTTTCCAATGGTGAGAGATGATTCATCTCACTCTCACCTCGACAATTCAATCTCCCCCCCGTTCCACAATCCCGAAAACATGGAACCGTAATTACGCTGTTGAATATTTTCCACTGGAATTTCCGGTAAGACTTGGAAATTTGTGACAAAAAAACATTTACACTGGAATTTTGTCACTGAAAATTCATAATTTCGTGGAAACTGGAAAATTTAGTTTAATTACTCCGGGAAAATTAATGAAAAATCAGGAAAATTGAGAAATCTCTCCTTGAATTCTAGATTTCGCCGAATTTTCAAGGAATTGAAGAATAAATATTCTTTTTCACTTGAAGATTCATGTAAATTCTGAAATTTCCGTCTTTCTGGTGCACAAAATTGGGACTTTCCCCTTAAATCGAATTCAAGGTCTTTTGCTGGATAATTCAGCCAATTTCCGCAGGATTCGATTAAATTAACATAGGGGAGGGTGGGGTAAAATGGACACTTTAGACTTTTTAAAAATTACTCATAACTCAGAAACAAATTTATCAATTGATCTAAGTTTAGGCTCACCACAAAGGGAAAGAGTTGTTCTTTGTATTGAAAAAAAATTATTAAATTTCATCAACATTTCAACCCCTCATTGACACTCGAAAAAAAATCAAAAGTGTCCGTTTTACCCCAACCTCCCCTAAACATAACTTGTGTTTTGAAGATTAAAATGCGAAATAAATTCTCAACAAAAGTTATGAATAAAAATATTCTGGTTGAGTTTGTACTCAATCCTCAGTCTATTATTATCGATAATAATTAATCTAGATGTGTAAAAATAACACAGCGTCTTATGAGAAAATGAACTTTTCGAGGTTAGGGAGAGTATTAAAATCTTTAAAAAAAAATCCAAAAACGGGAAAAAAATTCTGTGCTCAATATGAAAATTATCGTCAGTGTCAAACTTTTCTAATAAACAATTTATGTTTCTGCGTGTTATGTCGAAATCCCCTAGTCAACCGAGAGACTATTGTTTAAGAAAATAATTGAAGAAATAATTTGATGGATTTGTCTTATTCTCATGAAAGTTAGAATTCCTAGAAAAAATTATCAATGATGAATATTTTTTTTTTGGCTTTTTGAATCTATTCCTTCTTGTTCCACTCAACGACTCAATTCAAGTTTATTCATACCACTCTAAGCATGGCCGTATGAAAATAATATAAACAAAACTTTCATTTTGAGGATTAAAACCCCAAATAAATCCTAGACGACAGTTAATATGAATAGAAACATTCTGTTTGAGTTCGTACTCCATCCCCACTCCAGTGTAATTAATAATAATAAATCTATATGTGGAAAAATAACACAGTCTAATGAAAAAATGCGCTTTTCGAGGTTAAGAAGAGTATTAAAATCTTTAAAAAAAATCCAAAAACGGGAAAAAAATTCTGTGCTCAATGTGAAAATTATCGTCAGTGTCAAACTTTTCTAATAAACAATTTATGTTTCTGCGTGTTATGTCGAAATCCCCTAGTCAACCGAGAGACTATTGTTTAAGAAAATAATTGAAGAAATAATTTGATGGATTTGTCTTATTCTCATGAAAGTTAGAATTCCTAGAAAAAATTATCAATGATGAATATTTTTTTTTGGCTTTTTGAATCTATTCCTTCTTGTTCCACTCAACGACTCAATTCAAGTTTATTCATACCACTCTAAGCATGGCCGTATGAAAATAATATAAACAAAACTTTCATTTTGAGGATTAAAACCCCAAATAAATCCTAGACGACAGTTAATATGAATAGAAACATTCTGTTTGAGTTCGTACTCCATCCCCACTCCAGTGTAATTAATAATAATAAATCTATATGTGGAAAAATAACACAGTCTAATGAAAAAATGCGCTTTTCGAGGTTAAGAAGAGTATTAAAATCTTTAAAAAAAATCCAAAAACGGGAAAAAATTCTGTGCTCAATATGAAAATTATGGTCAGTGTCAACCTTTCTAACAGACAATTTATGTTTTTGCGTGTTTGAAATGGCGTGTTATGTCGAAACTCCCAGTTAACCGAGAGACTTTAACTCAAAAAAATAATCGAAGAAAAAGTTCGAGGAATCAATTTATTGCACTCATCAAAGTTAGAATTCCTAGAAAAAATGATCAATGATCAATAATTTTTTTAGCCTTTTGAATTAATTATCCCTCGCTCCACTCAACGACTCGACTACTCAATTCACATAACTTTAAGGCGAACGCCGAGAGATCCGAATATTTTCAAGTCATGCGCAATTTTGGGCCCTCAACCCCCTCTCCCCCAAAAAAAAATCGAACATTCGCCTTCTCAAATGAAAACAAAAAAATAATTACCTTGAACAAATGCTCAGTGCACTCGAACATAGGTGTGCTCATGACGGCGGTGGACATGTTGACTCCAAATTAAAAAAAAAAAGATCAACAGAATAAAACGCACAGAACCACTTGATTTTCCAACAAAAAAAAACCTACAATAAAAGTTCGTCTCACTTCCTTTGTCCCGATACAGCAATAACACTCGTTGTAATGCGTGACGTTGAGGGGGCTTGACTCACAGAGATCAAAGGTTAAAAATAAGAAACGTCGATTCGTAATAATTGATAATCAACTATTTGTTCACAAACTGGTACAAAACTGCCACTATCGTTGAGTATTGTCGTGCGGTTACCATTTGTTTGTCATTAAACCACAATTAACCAGATATACAACTTCACGTCTGAATCCCTACTCTCAGCACCGAGAATGAGGATTTGTTCATTAAATTAACTAAAAGCCACCGTTTTATCGTCGACGTGACAAGGAAAATCGACACAACTCCCAATTTACTTATTACTCGCGTTATTCAACAGCTCTCAGCCTCTAGCTCACGATATTTATCGTATTCCGGAGATGGAGAATTTTTTTAATGCTTTTTATTTTCGTCGTGAAACGTTTGATCCCTCCACGGAGAGCAAGTTGTTACTCGCAAAGCGCCCGAGAGCTGACTGAAGCCATGGGAGAGAGACCGGCGTAAAGACGCTCCGAGTTTTCGTTACTCGACGCGGTGGGGGCACCGTGGGGGGGGAGGGGCGGTGCCAACGCGCTCGACCAATCGGCGACGGTAGCCGAGGTACCACGAACTGTGTACGACCTGCGTGATAGCCTCCCCCCCTTTGCCCCCCTCCGAGGTCCCCCTGCCGCTGTCTCCTCGACCCCTTCGGCGAACCGACGGGATTATTATTATTTTTTTTTGGATTTGGAGTTGTGAAGGAGCTGGATGTGTGTGTGTGTGTTGTGTATCTGGTGATACTAGCTCTTTCTTCGAGTCCCGGAGCAACCCCTTCTTGGTTGGAAACGCGTCTCAGGCGCTGGCGCGCTTGAGAGACTTGGCAACAGCGGAGGCTCTGTTGCCGGTGAGGAGTCGGGATTTCCGCGAGGTTTTTCGACCGGCGGTGGGCTGGAGAAAAATTAAATTTTTATTTTGAGGGACGTGATAATAAGAAATGAATGAGTGAGAAAATAATAAAAATAAGAAGTAGGTGAAAAATTAATTGATAAAAAAATGATTGATGAAATTAATAATAAAATGATGAAGTATTAATTATCGATCGTTTATTAATTATTTATTAATTTGATAGTATAATTGGAGAGAAAATCGTGGAGTATAAAAAATGTTCTTTGATGTTCTTTGACGTTTCGAAGGCATTTGCAAAATCATCTATATGAATTATGGTAAATGTTGAGAAAGAGGTCCCCACCACCGATCTTTCTGAAAACTTAACCATATTAGGGGGATTATTTTTGGTGCCGAATGCCGCTGCCTTTCTCATTCCTCAGTTGCCACTATCACTGAGGGTTTTTCTGCGATTAATCCCCAACAACGCATCTCCGACAGTCAAATTGAACCTTGAAACACTTAAAGTTCCTTCATTTATCGATTATTAGAGGTGATAAATGAAATTCATGTGGGGCTGTCTTTCTTCACATTTATCAAAAATTATTAGAATTGAAGCAAGTTTTGTAGCAATTCTCTGAAAATTCTGCGGAATATGGAGTTTGAGGTTTCTGAATTTTCCTGAGTTTTCATTAATTTCCCCCGAATAATTAAACTGAAATTTACGGTTCTCACTGATCAGTGGAAATTTTTAAAGTGAAATTTACAGTTCCCAGTGATTTCTCCATGAAATTATGAATTTTCAATGCCAAAATTCCCTGGAATTTCACTGAAAAAGTTACTCTTTAGAAATTCCCACGACTCTTATCGGGAATTTCAGTGGAAATTTTCGAACCGAAATTTTTAAAGTTCAATTTACAGTTCCCACTGATTTCTCCATGAAATTATGAATTTTCAATGTCGAAATTCCCTGGGATTTCACTGAAAATTTACTCGTTAGAAATTTCCAAGACGCTTATCGGGAATTTCAGTGGAAATTTTCGAACCGAAATTTTTAAAGTGAAATTTACAGTTCCCATTGATTTCTCCATGAAATTATGAATTTTCAGTACCAAAATTCCCTGGAATTTCACTAAAAATTTACTCTTTAGAGATTTCCAAGACTCTTATTGGGAATTTCAGTGGAAATTTTCTAACCGAAATTTTTATAGTGAAATTTACAATTGCCACTAATTTCTCCATGAAATTATGAATTTTCAATGTCGAAATTCCCTGGAATTTCACTGAAAAAGTTACTCTTTAGAAATTCCCATGACTCTTATCGGGAATTTCAGTGGAAATTTTCGAACCGAAATTTTTAAAGTGAAATTTACAGTTCCCATTGATTTCTCCATGAAATTATGAATTTTCAGTACCAAAATTCCCTGGAATTTCACTGAAAATTTACTCTTTAGAAATTTCGAAGACTCTTATCAAAAATTTCAGTGGAAATTTTCTAACTGAAATTTTTAAAGTGAAATTTACAGTTCCCACTGATTTCTCCGTGAAATTATGAATTTTCAGTGCCAAAATTCCCTGGAATTTCACTGAAAATTTACTCTTTAGATATTTCCAAGACTCTTATCGGAAATTTCAGTGGAAATTTTCTAACCGAAATTTTTAAAGTGAAATTTACAGTTCCCTGTTAATTTTCCTGTAAATTTCCCCAGTAAAATTCCCTGGAATTTCACTGAAAATTTACTCTTTAGAGATTTCGAAGACTCCTATCATAAATTTCAGTGGAAAATTTTGAACAGTGCACAGTTGAACAAGAGCTCCCACTCGGAGAACGTATCATACTGAATTTCACGCAGAGTTCCCCTTGCGCCAGCATAATACACTCTTTTTTCTCGGTACTGGAGGAGACCCAGAGCCCCCACGATTTGTGTGTAGTTACATATAACCGCGTTTGTTAGATATGGCGCTCTCTCGTATGAATGAAAGACTAGCCTTCTATTCATGCGAGCGCAACCAAAGTGAGCGAGAGGAGTAATAACATTGGCCAGCCGCAACCGAGCGGCTTCTAAATAGTCCTCGTCTGGAGGCTTTTTTTTTCTTCGCTGTTGTTATTACTCAGGTTGTATCGGTATCGGGGGACCAAGCCATTTTGTTCGAGACTGCGGGGAATTACTCTCAGCCGTAGCCGCTCCTGAATTTCATCGGTCATAATCGACTTGTTTTCGGTTAATTGAGACGAGTCTAATCGACCGTAGCATCATTTCAAGCTAGATTTATTTTCTCGGCATCAGTTTGCCCGAGATGAATTTTCATGATTCAAGTGACAGTTGGAGGAATTGAACTGTAAATATTTTTATAATGAAATTAAACCATTAATTATCATCGATAAAAATTATGATTTTTTTATGACCAAAATTTTTAAAGAGATTGTGTGTTGAGGCAAATGAATAATGATTTATTATTCATTTTATGTATTAATAATATTATTCTGGAAATAAAACACGAATGAAAACTTCAACAATAATAATTTTTCAATTCAGTTCATTCTCATCTTTTCAATTGTACACTTTAAAACAAAGTTTGATACATTCTCTTGGGATTACTTTACTCAGGATTTTATGATTCAAGTGACGGTTCAGGAAATTGAATATTCAATACTTTTCAATGGAATAATAAAGTGAATTGTAATACAAGGAAATTACAATTTTTTATGACTCCCATTTTAAAGAGACTATCCATTGAGGAAAATAAATAATACTTTATTATTCATTCTTTAGTTATTGACAATGAATAGTATGAATAATAATGCAAAACAAATAAATTAATTAATTGATGGAAAAAAAATTAAAAGCTCCAAAATAGCAAACTCTCAATTCAATTTATTCACATTTTTGAAAATTATAAACTTGAAAAATAGTATTTTTCCGGCCTGCTGCGATGGGGTTTTTTACTCGTGTGGCGTTGGCCTCCGAGCCGTAGGCGAGGACTGGCCAACCACACGAGTAAAAAAACCCCATCGCAACAGGCCAGGAACAATATTTTTCTGTAGTGATTTTCAAGTTTTCGAGTTTGGGAAGTATGTAATACCAATTCCCAGACGAGAAATTGTGAGAAGCAGTACAGAAAAAAATATTTGCTACCCATTTTGACAGGCTTTTGATACCCGCAAGTACAAGCCTGCCCGCATGATCACTACACGGGTCAGGGCATCGGTGAAAAGAAAGAGAGAGAGAGAGAGAAAGTGGGAAGAACAATTTTTCGGGGTTAAATTTAGAGGCATGAGAATCTCCACGGGATTTGAAAGAAAACCCCTATGCCCACTTGGGCTTCACGTCAGAGGGGGATGGAGTCACCCACGCTTGTGCTGAAGCGAGAGACCCCCATCTGCCCGTATGCCATGGGAAATACCGTGACACACCTAATTGGACCCACGTTCGGCCACGTGTGCCACAATCCCCCGGTATTTTTATTTTTCGGGCAGGCCTTTTTCACCCTTCTCTAAACGGTTTTCACTTTTGGGACTTGATTTGTGGCATTGCTCCCAAATTTTCACTGCAAAAATATCGAATGGTTTATTCCATCATTGACAATTGGAAAATAAACTCAGTCCGACCTTTTTTTCCCTCTGAAATGAAAATTATGATTATGAGAAAAGATTTCCATACACGGAGAGAAATATTCAATAAAAATGACGTATCTTTTCCGTAATTCCAGAGCGAAATGTGGTTGTAGGAAACTTTACGGAACTGTCACGGAATTTTTCCGGAGCGTTCCGCAATTTTTATCTGAATCTTCTCTGAAAAATTACGATACCGTCACTTAAATTTTTTGAATCGATTCCGTAATCGGTGAGTGAAGTGAGAGTTCCGTAATTTCTACTGAACATTTCTCTCCGTGTAAGAAAAACTCACTTTATTATTTGAATTACACGGAAAGTGTAGAATATTTACTATAAATAATATTCATCCTCTCAGTTACCAATTTAAGAATCAATATTTCCCTGAAATATTGGGAAATACCCGAATGTGTAAGAATTTTCCAGTAATAAAATGCGTTTTTCTCATTATTCAGATGTAGAATCGCCAAAAAATTAATTCTTTGTAAATCTCAATATTATTCACGTAGAAAAAAAATCCATTTGATATAAAATTCATGCACCTGTGAATAATAGTAAAAGAAAATTGGCGAGTCGGTCGAAACGTCAGTAGTCGAACGGTCAAATGGCTCTTGAATCAGTACTCGAACGACCGAAGGCCCTAAACTTAGAGTCTTTATTCAATTAGTTATATATACAATTGTTATATTTTTCTCATAAAGGTCGCTTGGTATTTGGTAGTCTGCCCACTGCTCCTGAGCTGTACCCAGTTTTCAGCGCTGCCAGTGCCTTCTCCAACTCCTCTGCACTGTAATTTTGCTCCTTTCTCTTTTTTAATTATCCGCTGTGATAGATCAATCATTAAACAATACATTTTATCCTTGGAAAAATATTTTGATGAATAAAAGGATGATAAGGTGCGGGAAAATTTGTTTGACACGTGAGGTTAAGTGGATCGTTCCTGACCACCAGTTTTTCTACGATTTCGCGAGTTTCTTTCACTATTTTAGGATTTCAATCACTTAATC